TGACTCACTGTGAGTTTTCAAAAGTCATTGTGCTCACACAACAGGAAAACAGCAAATCACCACAGACACGGTTTCAAATAAAAACTATACTGACTAATATTGACTTGGATTTCCATATCATCCCAGTAATATGTGCAAATGGCCGGGTATGATAATGGCAGGGCATATATGGAATACTATCACTGCTACAGTGACAAGATGCCTTTCTTTGCAGGATGTAGGTAAAGGAATAGCTTGTTTTTAGCTATGGTTTATTTGTTCACCATAAAACTACTTTTCAAGGTTCAGTTATAGGCTGATTAGTAGTTACAGATGCACTTATTAATTATCTGTGCACAAAATCGTTTTTTTATCTCACCAGTGCACAATTTTTTTTCATACATGAGATGCATGTATGAGATCAAAGAGTATCAACACAAAGCAAGAGAAATCACTACTAACATCTGACTTCGTTCAAGCCTGTGGATATAAGCAGCCAGAAACATAATGGTCAAATGCAAACAGCTGTTTCTTAATAATGCAGACTTTCAATATGACATGTAAAGTTAATAAGGTTTTTACATGCATAGGGTGTGAACTATCTTAACTGTCTTGAATCATAGATCTTTGGTTATATAACAAAAATGGGATGTTACTTAATTCCACCAATCAGAATGTGAGGGAGTGGTGAGTGCTAAAAAAACAGGAATCTGCCACACTTCAACTTCACTCTTCCCTCCTCCCAGCTTTCTTCACTTCAGCTCCTGACAGGTGTAGTAATTCTCTCTGAAACTATGGCCACAGATATGACTCTGTACTGGGGCTCTGGCTCTCCTCCAAAAATGGGATGTTACTTAATTCCACCATTCAGGATGTGAGGGAGTGGTGATTGTTAAAAAACCAGGAATCTGCCACACTTCAACTTCACCCTCCTCCCAGCTTTCTTAACTTCAGCTCCTGACAGGTGTAGTAATTCTCTCTGAAACCATGGCCACAGATATGATTCTGTACTGGGGCTCTGACTCTCCTTTCTGCTGGAGGGTGATGATTGTTCTAGAGGAGAAGAATCTACAGGACTACAACAGCAGAATGCTCTCTTTTGAGAAAGGTGAGCACAAGTCTCAGGAGGTCATGAACATAAATCCCAGGGGTCAGGTATGTTCACTTTCTACATTCCATTAACTAAAAATAATATATAGTAAATCCTCTTGTAGTATCAGCATCCATTTTCCTGTATATTCATTGCAGTAACACTCTTTCT